TATGACTGCATAACTATGTAGGAGGCTGACATATGAGGATCTCAAGCTCAAGCCAGCCTAGATCACATTCTATCACAACAAAACAAAAATTTGGCAGGGTGCTGGTGGCTCACATCCATACTTCTAGCTACGCAGGAAGCTGAGATCTAAGGATTACAGTTCGAAGCCAGCTTGGATTTGAGACTCTCATCTCCAATCAAAAACTACTAAAACTAGACACTGTTGAAAATGAACTATGGGTGGTAACAGGAGGGAAAAACTGGGAGAGAGCCAGGGAAGAGGTGACATTGTCTAAAACATATTGACTTATGTAACTGTAATCTCTCTGTATTTCACCTTTATATTAATAATAATAAAAATTGAGAAAAACAACTAAAAAGACAGAAAGTGGAGCTACAGCTCAAATGGTAGACCACTAGCCTTGAGCAAAAGAAGCCTCAGAAGCTGGGTGCTGGTGGCTCATGCCTGTAATTCTAGCTACTCAGGAGGCTAAGATCTGAGAACTGCAGCTCAAAGCTAGCCTGGCAGCAAAGTCTGTATGACTACTGTCTCCAAATCACCACCAAAAAACTGGAAGTGGCACTGTGGCTTCAAGTGGTAGAGTGTTAGCCTTGAGCAAAAGCAGCTTAGGGACAATGCTCAGGCCCTAAGTTCAAGCTTCAGGACTAGCAAAAACAACAAAAAAGCCTCAAAGACAGTGCTCAAGGACTGGCACAAAAAAATAAAATTTGCTTTTTAAAAATTTTTTGTTTTTAATTTTATTAAAATTTGCTTTATTGAGATATATTTACATCATACAATTCACCCACTTAAAATATATAATTCTTAGTTTTTAGTATATTCAGAGTTATATAACCATTACCACAAACAATTTAAAGCATTCATCATCCAATAAAGAAATTTATAACCATTAGTAGTCATTCCTATCCTCCCCTTACCCTGCAAAAGACAATTACTAATCTGATTTCTCTCTATATCTTTTTTTTAAATTTAATTTTATTTTATTTGTGAACATATTGTACAGAGGGGTTACAATTACATGGGCAGGATAATGCATACATTTCTTACCAAGCATTGCAGCCTCCTCCTTTGTTTACCCTTCACATCCCTTCCCAGCCTTCCCCCTCCCCCCCCATCTCTCTATATCTTTACCTATTAAAAAAGAGAAATATTGTCAGGTGCCAATGTCTCAGACCTGTAATCCTATCTGCTCAGGAGGATGAGATTGTAAGATCCCAGTTTGTAGTCAGGCTGGGGAGACAAAGTGAGAGACTCTTATCGCCACTTAACTAGCAAAAATCTGGAAGTGGAAGTATGGCTCAAGTACAGATCATAGCCTTGAGCAAAAAAGCAGAAAGAGAGACACCAAGGCCCTGAGTTGAAACTGAAAAACTGAAGTACCACCAGCCAAAAAATAAATTAAAAAAAAAGGGTGGGAGGTCAAGCTCTTGAGTTCAAGCCTTCAAAAATAAAAAATAATCCCTCCTCCCTGTCCCATGTCTGTCCCCATTATGTTCTGTCCTTGACAAAGAACACAATTTGAGAACTTGTGCTAGGTTAAGGAAAGGCCTGTCACCAAAGCATGAAGAAAAACAAGAGTTTAGCTTCTTCCAGCATCCTTAGTCATCTACCTATGCCATATTCTTTGAGTGTTTGGCTATATCAAGTCACCTGAGTTTGCTAGGTACTAGTGGCTTACACCTATACTCGGGAGGCTGGAATCAGGATTGCAGTTCAAAGCCAGCCCAGGCAGGAAAGTCCATGAAACTTGGCTCAAGTGGTAGAGCACCAGCCTTGAGTGAAAAAGCTAAGAGACAGTGCCCAAACCCTGTTGGTGTGCCCCAGTGCTGGCCCACACATACAACTGTAGGTTCCTGGCCAGGCTGGATTTGAACTGTGATTCTCAGATCTCAGCCTCCTGAGTAGCTAGGATTAGGCACGAGGTACCAGATCCCTGCTTAATATTTGTTTTTCCAACATAAATTTTCATTTAGTACTGATTCAATTAAATGCTAAATATTATAAATAGACTACTTAAAAGTTGAACACAGTCGGGCGCTGGTGGCTCACGCCTGTAATCCTAGCTACTCAGGAGGCTGAGATCTGAGGATTGCGGTTCAAAGCCAGCCCGGGCAGGAGAGACCGTGAGACTCCTATCTCCAATAAACCACCAGAAAACCGGAAGTGGCGCTGTGGCTCAAGTGGTAGAGCGCTCGCCTTGAGCTGAAGAGCTGAGGGACAACGCCCAGGCCCAGAGTTCAAGCCCCACGACCGACAAAAAAAAAAAAAAAAAAAGTTGAACACAGACACTGGTAGCACTGCTTACTTCATTAAAAAAACACATTTTTAATGCTGATACATACACATATTGTATAATATTTAAATCTAGGTAAAATATTTTTGTTGTTGTTTTATTGTTTTTATATTTGAGTACTGGGGATTGAACCCAGGACATTGTACATGTCACTTAACCCATGCCTCATTTCATCTTTTCAAATATTTATAATTTATTCAGAATCCTTGTAGCTCTTTGAATACTCTGCGAACACATTGATATCTGTTGTCATCTATCATTATAAATTTTACCATACATGTGTGTGTAAAAATTTTTATTATTTATTTTTGTCGGCCAAGGGGCTTAAACTCTGGGCCTGGGCACTGATCCTTAGCTCCTCAGCTCAAGGCTAGTGCTCTACCACTTAAACTCCATTGCAACTTCTGGATTTCTGGTGGTTAATTGGAGACAAGAGTCGCACAGACTTTCCTTTCTAGGCTGGCTTTGAACCTCCATCCTCAGCTCTCAGCCTACCGAGTAGCCAGGATTACAGGTGTGAGCCACTGGTGCCCAGCATAAAAGTTTTTTTTTTTTTTTTTAAACGCACAAATGCATGGGCTGGGAATGTGGCTTAGTGGTAGAGTGCTTGCCTAGCATGCATGAAGCCCTGGATTCCATTCCTCAGTACTACATAAACAGAAAAACCTGGAAGTAGCATGTGGCCCAAGTGGTAGAGTGCTATCCTTGAGCAAAAGAAGCTGAGGCAGAGCTCAGGCCTGAGCTCAAGCCCAGAGACTAGAACACCAAAAAAACAAAAATTAAAAAAGCTACACATAAAATACCTTAGTTTAAAAAGCATGTCTGGAAAAACTGTTCAAGAAAATAAATGCAAGGATGAAGTGAATTTCAGTTGTAAGCATTCACAGGATCCTGAATTGAACCCTCTGGGTATATTGGGAAAAAAGAAAATACAGTGTAAGTTTACACTTTACAGTAAGAAAGGAAAAAAATAATTCACTAACCACAGTGGAGTATCAGAAACCAGGGGTCAATTGGAATACTGTTATAACTATTTGAGCTATTGCTACCTGGAAAATTGCTAAGAGTACATAAATTATAGTCTTCCTTAAATATAAGATGTGGAAATTAATAACAGAAACCTTTTTTCTCAACATTAAAACAGATAATTGAGTAGTTTTCATTTACATATTTATTCATTTATTTTTTGTTTTGTGACAGTACTAGGCTTGAACTCAGGTTCTAAGGCCTTGTCCCCTTCACTCTACCACTTGAGCCACAGCTCCACTTTTCCAGCTTTTTCCACTTTTCCAGTTCACTGAAGAGACACGCAGACTTTCTTGCCCAGCTGGCAAGATCCTTAGATCTCATCCACCTGAGAAGTGAGGATTACAGGCATCAGCCAACAGCCCCTGCCTACTGTTTTGTGGTACAAAAGGGGCCTATTGCTTGCTTGCTAGGCAGTAACTTGAAGCAAAGCCCCCAGAATTTTTTTTTATAGTCCCTCCAGAATCCTGTCACAGAAGAGCCTCTAATTTCCATCATCCTATCTATACTTCACTTATAGTTGTAATTAACAGAGCACCCCACAATTCTCATTAGAAGGGGGTGGCCCCAGTGTTCTCAATCTTAAGCTCAGAGTAGTTGAGGAACAGTCCTGTGGTGCAAAGAAAGGCTTATCTTTTTTTTTTTTCCCCTGGTCGGTCATGGGGCTTGAACTCTGGGCCTGGGCACTGTCCTTCAGCTCTTCAGCTCAAGGCAAGTGTTCTACCACTTGAACCACAGCACCACTTCTAGATTTCTGGTGTTTTATTGAAGCTAAGAGTCTCATGGACATTCCTGCCTGGACTGGCTTTGAACCACGATCCTCTGGTCTCAGCCTCCTTACTAGCTAGGATTACATAGTTGTGAGCCACCAATGCCTGGCCTCATTTTTTTTTTTTTATTGGTGCCAGTCATGGGGCTTGAACTGAGGGCCTGGGAACTATCCTGAGGCTCTTTTGCTCAAGGCTAGCACTCTACCACTTCAGCCACAATGCAACTTTCGGCTTTTTCTGTATATGTTGTACTGAGGAATCAAACCCAGGGCTTCATGCATGCTGGGCAAGCACTCTTCCACTGAGTCACTTTCCCAGCCCTTAATTATGTTTTTGAGGTTAGAAATAAAAAATTAACAACAAAAAATAAGATTCCATTGAACTCAGTGCTATTTTGGAAATCTAAAAAGTAGTTGTGGTTTAAGACAAGTGCTGGTGACTAATGCCCATAATCCTAGCTACTCAGTAAGTTCCAAGACAGTACAGGCAGGAAAAGTCTGTGAGACATTTCCAATTAACTAACAAAAAGCTGTAAGTGGCATTGTGGCACTAACTTGAACAAACAAACTCAGAAACAGTGAGCAGTCTCTCACTTCAAAAGCCCTAGGATGGCAGGAAAGAGAGAAAGAAAGAGAGAGAGAGAGAGAGAGAGAGAGAAAGAGAGAGAAAGAAAGGGGGGAAGAGGGAGGGAGGGGAAAAAAAGAAGAAATAGTAGTGATTTTAAGTGCCAGTATGGACTCTCAGTTCCTTCCCAGGGATTATCCTGGTTTGACTGGGGGTATGTAGGCACTCAAGCAGTTATTCTTTGCCTGTAAGGTAACAGAAACCAAATGTCACAGTGAGAACACTCTACTAGTATGTTTTAAACAAGGAATCAAGGTATAACTCACAATGGATGTTTTCCTTCTTAATTTTTGCCAATGCTTCAATAGAATGGTCTGAATGTGATTTCTGGCCCTAGAATAAGAGAAGATAAAAAATGATTTTGTAGCAGGATACTCGTGGCTCACACCTTGTAATCCTAGTTATTCAGTAGGCTGAGATTGAGACTCATGGTTCAATGCCAGCCCAGGAAGACAAATCCGTCAGATTTCAATTAACCACCAAAAAGCCAGAAGTGAAGGTGTGGCTCAAGTGGTAGAGAGCTTGCCTTGAGCGGAAAAGCCAAGCCAGGTCTCACACAGAAAAAAAGATTTTGTTATGAACAATTTGGACACAGTACTAACTCAGTTCCTGAGGAAGTGGAGCAGTGCCTGCGCTAATCTAGTTTCCTCTACCCCTCAATTGGGTAGAAATCATATATATGTGTATGTATGCATACACACGCACACGTATAGCAGCTGCAATGGGGAGACAAATTCGTTTTTTCAAATTACAAAACTGGCCAAGCAGGGTCTAAGCCGTTCTCAGGGACGGTAAGGGAAGGGCAAATGCTGCCTCGAAGCCAACAAGGAATTAACATTGCCTTCAACATTTGCCCACCCAGCTTCATCTCGGCCACTAGAGCTCGGACACGTAAGTGGGGGCGGCTCACGTCATCGCCGGGCATAATTTGCCGCAAGCAGTTGCCCAGGGCCTGAGGTTTGTCCCTCGGCAGTCGGTGAATGGCTCCTGATCCGCCATTAGAACCTGTTCTAAATATCAGAAGCCACCCAGCCTCGGAGAAGAGGGCAGGACCCGGAGGAGCCCTGGAACACAGTTATCGACATGGGAAACATGGGGACCTTCGGCTCAGCTCCCAGAGCTGGAGCACCCACTCGGCCTGTCCCCGTCCCCCTCAGGAGATAAAGGAAAACACCCGACGACCTCCCTGCGGCCCCCCCACCCCCACCCCCAGGCCGCCTCAGCCGGTCCCGTCGGCCGAGTCCGCACGGCCCTGGCAGCACTCAGGCTGCACTCGAAGGCGCCCCTGACCTGACTTTGGCCCCGACACGCAGCGGCCACCGTAGGCCTCGCTGTGGGCTAAGTCCGGATCCGGGCGAGGTTCGGGAGGCTACCCTCCCCGCCTCCTCCTCCTCCCGACGCTGCGCTATTCCCAGCCACCCCCACTCTCCACGGGCCTGCTCAGGAAAGACAGGACAGCGGGAATAGTCTTACCCGGTTCGGGCTGCGGCTCCGCAGAACGAGCTTCCCCTCCCCCCGGCCCACCCCCCTACCACTACACTCACAACTCCGCTCAGAACTGCGCCCGCTTTGCTCGGCTGAAAGGAGGTGGAAGACTTGTGGGGGCGGCTGTGCGGGCGAGCCCAAACAAACCCCGCCCTTCGAACGCTCATTGGGTGGAAGGAGACGCGGGCGGCAACGCCTCGGGCACACCTATTGGCTAGGCCAGCCTTCCTTCAGGAACCCCCTCCTCTGAAGGATCGTCTACTCGCCTGTCCGTCACGTGCAGGCCACACCCCCCCAGCCCTGCGGTTTCACTCGCCACTACCACCGCGGGCCTTCGAAAGCGCCGCGTCCTTTCCCCTTCGTGTCCCCGCCCAGCCCGTCCCTACCCGCCCGGTCTGCTGGGGCCAGGAGCCCTATAGGCGTGGACCGCCGCGAATATCTCCGTCTGTCTCTGGAGTTGGGAGCTTCTTGGGCGTGGACTTCCTGAGTGACTGAGGCAGAGCGTAGAGCCTCGGCGCCGGGCACGGCCTCGGTCA